AGCAGCAGTGTAGTGTGTGATATTATGGGATGTGCCGGTCACAGCAGCAGTGTAGTGTGTGATATTATGGGATGTGCCGGTCACAGCAGCAGTGTAGTGTGTGATATTATGGGATGTACCAGTCAGAGCAGCAGTGTTCACAGAGGGTGCGCGTGGCTGCACAGTGTTGAGGAGGACAGGAGGAGCGCTGGTGCCGCTGCGGTGCATCACTGGCGGGACGGGGCTGACGTGGCTCCCTGCGTGGCTCCAGACGGGCTGCTGAGGATGCTGGGAGTAGCTGCTGTGGTTGATGGGCTGCTGAGGATGCTGGGAGTAGCTGCTGTGGTTGATGGGCTGCTGAGGATGCTGGGAGTAGCTGCTGTGGTTGAGCGTGCCGACGGGTGAAGGCTGGGGACGGCTGCTGCTGCTGTAGAGGCTCGGGCCGGCCGGCGGAGGGCCTTTGCTCGGCAGGGTGTTGATGAAGCCCGGCTGCGGCGGTGCCATGAAGCGCTGGTTACAGGGGAAAACACCAACGGGGTTCTGCAACGGACCTGCGGCACAAAACACCACAAAAGAGTCTGTTACAAATCAACCGAACACCAACTACAGACAACGCAGCGGGCTTAACTGGTCATCATAGACTAGTCCTCTAATCAGATTAACTCAGGAGAATGTAATCTTGACCTGGATGAAGATCTCGACACATCCACTGAATGGAAGACAGAGAAACCACAGGCCAAACAAAGAGTAGTGAGGATAAATGAGCGATCAAAACTCAAGAAGCTCAAGCTCTCGTGATGCAGAAGTTAAAAACAGAGCGATCTGAGGCTCTGAAAGCACAGATCACTGTAATAAAGCACTCACTCACTGACTACAGAGAAGCAACACACACACGTTTGATTCTGGGACATCTGTCAGGCCCTTTACTCTGTAAAACTGCTTAAAATAATATGTACTGTTAAAAAACAAATACGTCGAGCTGAAATGTGCAAACACTTAGGTCAGATAATCATTATAAAAATAATAAGATGAAGAATTTTCAGAAATGAGTTTCAGGCCCTGAGAAACACATCAGTGCAATCACATGCATTCTCAAAAAATCTAACTCATGCTATCAGATGCTTTACCATATTAATATACCATGGTATTTGGGTACTTGATTTATTACTGTCCATTGACTTAAATATAATAATATAAAAACCGTGGCATATGAATGTGTACGGTCACATTTCTGTTAAACTTCTCATTTTTCATATTTAACAATTTTTACTTTCACTCCTGCACTGTGACTAATCTATCATAACATCCTCCCGTTTACACACACACACACACACACACACACACACACACACAAACCTCAAAAAATCACGGCAGGCGCTGGACTGAAGAACTGAGTTAGCATGAAGCCTCAGATCAGCTGTCAATCAATCAATCAGCTGTCAATCAATCAGTGATCAATGAGCGACGCGACAGCGCGGAACCCGAGCACAACGCCAGCGTACTAACTGAATGTGGTTAACTCGTGTGACTAGTCGTTAGTGATGAACTTTACTCTATAATCAGAGAATCTGGCCTTCGTCGAGCGACGCGACGCACTGGGATGCGTCGGAGCGCGAGGATTCTGGCTGGTCGCGTCGTGTCGCTGAAGCGATTAAACTCTGGAGCAACTCTCGGCCTGGGAGCGTCGCGGAACACGGACAGCGCGCTTCAGAGTGACGCTCGACGCGTCAGCCGAGGAACACCGAGCTACTCACCGTTCGCGTGCGAGCCTCCGGCGCCGTTCTGTGACGCGAAGCCGCCGCTGGACATCGTGAAGTCGGATCGGTCAGCGAGCGTCTCACAGGCCCGCGGCTGCGGTCATTCTCTGTCTCGCGCTGCCGAGCGTCGCGGTGATAAACAGCGCCTTCCTCTCAGCGGAAGTCGAGCGGAACACGGACAGCGCGCATGCGCACTTGGTACACGTGGCATTTCCTGTGGAGCGCCGCTTTCCGCCGTACTGGAAACACGAGTCACTGCAGAGCTTTCGGAACGATCAACCCAGAAGTAGGGCTGTCAGTCGATTAAAGTTTTTAATCTGATTAATTACATGATGTTTCGATTAATTAATCTAATTAATCGCAAAATAAATTTGACTGTGAAAATACCCACAAAAGATTATTTAAACAGCTATTTTTTGTGTTGAATGAGAAAGTATCGTGTAGAAGTTACAAATTGTAGCTTTAGAAATATTTTTATTTGATTCAACATAAAATTTATTACACATAAACATTTGGGCTACAACGGCCTAACATAAACTATGGAACATAAAAGAAGATAATTTGAGAAACATCTCAGTATTTTCTGTTCATACAATGAAAGTCACTGCTAACCAAAACAGCTTTGTTACCAACAGTCTTCAGAATACCTTATTTTATGTTCCACAAAAGAAAGTAAGTCATTCAGGTTTGAGTAAATCATGACAGAATTAAATTTTTGGGGTTGAACTATCCCTTTAATGTTTTATTATTATCATTATTATTATTTATTTTTATTAAATGATACTCTAAATAAGAAACTACATCAGCCAGCAGGTGGCGGTAAATGTCTTTATGAGTCATTTATTCATTTGATTCAAACGGCTGACTCATTCAGGAATTCAGTAAACGACTCTCTTTATGAATGGAGCTTTGAATCATTGATTCACTCGATTCGTTCAAAACGCGGATTCATTCAGAAACTAAACATGCTGTTGCTCAGAGACGCACAACAATTCTGCTGTGGCTTTAAAGGTAATTATGTTCTCTGCAAAATTGAGCAAAAACACATAATATCGTGTTTAAAATATAACACAATAGCAACTTCTTATTTACTGAAATGTTTAATAAAATAACATTTGCACTCGTGTGATTCGCTTATCATATCATGATATAGACTAAATATGAGACAAAAACACATACAGGGGCATTTTTGCACCAATATCTTGAATTTTAGGGCATAACTGCATTTATGGAGCTGTGGCCCTGCAGCATATTTGTCAACAGTCAGCTGTATGAAATGTAAGATGACGTACAGGTCAGGGGGCGGGGCCAGTGCGTTAACTGCTTTAAATATTTTAATTGCATTATTTTTTCATAACTAATTAATCAAGTTAACGTGTTAAACTGACAGCCCTACCCAGAACACATTCAAATGTGCTTCAGCTGCAGAAATGCAAATGTATAAGATTTCATTATTACAAGAGTACATACGAAAAGTTAAATGGACTGAAAAACGCATTCATTTAAACAATTTACCCTTGAGGTCAGGACCTGAGAATTATATAGAGATGTAAAAACTACGAAAGCTGTCCTGTTTGCTTTATACAATCTTCCTAATAATTGGTGTTTAGCACTGTATAATCCCTTTTGTGCTGAAGTTCTCTAAATTGTCATATTATTAAAATAAATTTTAATAATATTTCTTTGCGAAGCTTGAGAGAACATTTATGTGTGTGTGTGCGCGCGTATATATATACATGCTTTAAATTGGGCTGGGGTTGGTTTAACAATAATATGCATGGGGACAAAATTACTTACTCTACATGTACAAATAATAGAGAAAGTGAGAGTGCAGCAAACACTGCGCGCGCGCGCGTGTGTGTGTGTGTGGGTGTGGCTGTGCTGTTGTTTATGCAGGTTGTTTCCCGCCGGACGGTTTCGATTGTGACACACAGCGGAAGTGGCGCCATTGTTGTGTGTCGTGGCTGTGAGCGGCTGTGAGTGTGTTCACTCGACTCTGCTGTAATATTCACTCATTCAGCCGCGTTGGAAAGAGCTGCACTCATCTGTACACACACTCGAGGTAGGTTTCTGTCTCTAGGTGTGTGTGCTTGTGTGTTTTTCTCCGCCGTGTGCGCGGGTTTCTCCTCTGCCGGCCGCTCGCGCTAAAGCTAACGGGAGATGTTAGCCTGACACAGTCGTGTAACGCTGACGCTCGTTTAATTAACTCGAATCATTTAGCGCCGTAATGACAGCACCGTTCGTGTGGGTTAGTAGATCCGCGCGCCGTTCTGTGACGCGGTATTGTTGATTGTGTCGTTAGCTCTGTTAGCATCAGCAGTGACGCGTACACAAGATCAGAAATAACGACACTTTTACTCCCTCAGATCGAAGTAAACCCTCAAAACAGAGTAAAGACAAGGAAAATCTGTTTTGAAGACATTTGTCAGATTCTTAGGAATGTGATGTTTGTATTCATGTTGCTTTCATATTTTGAAAACTCTAGTATTATTTTCATCATTTTAAATTAATGACTCATGTGGTGTAACCATCAAATAAACACGCATTTATTATGAGTTTATGAATGAATAATTCGTGATTTGTAATGTCATTTATATATAACACATCCCAATTATTTCTTCATAAATGAATATTAATTATGAAAGTTGTGATCTATTATAATCACCCTCATGTCGCTCCAGATCCATAAGACTATTTTAAAGGAACCTGAGAGGTTTCTGTTTCTCCATTGAAAGTCCATTACAAAACTTTGACGCTTGGAAAAGTTCACGAGGACATCAAAATTACGTTCATGGTGTTCTGTTTGTGTGGTGATCAATGTTTGAATGCGACTAAAACCCGAGATTAAATCTGTTCCTCTTATAAAATGATTGTGTGTCTTCACAAGATCTTTTATGACACCTTTGTGAACATTTCAGGTGCACAGACTTTCAATGGAGCGACAGAAGCCTCTCAGATTTCATAAACATATCTTGATTAGTGTTTGACAGATGAACAGAAGTCATATGGTTTGGACAGAAAGATGATTTTTGTCCCTTTAACTCTGTCCTGGAGGGCCGGTGTCCTGCTGAGGTTAGATCCAACCCCAGTTAAACACACCTGAAGCAGCTAATCAAGCTCTTACTAGGCATGCTAGAAACTCACAGGCAGGTGTGCTGGAGCTGGAGCTGAACTCTGCAGGACACCGGTCTACCCCTGCTTTAACACACGCACTCCTCTGTGACGTCATGTTTCTGGATGCTGTTTGGTTGACCAACATTTTGTTGGTTACGTCACATGACTTTGATTTGACAGACGAATGTTTTTCAAATACTAATGAGCTGAAAATGAATAACAGGACATTTCTTAAAGAAATGCCAAACTACTTTCTTTTTGAGAATTTATCGAGGTTTGCTCTTCTGATGAAATGACCACGTGTTTGAATTATTGCTCAGAAAAGCATTAGTTCAGAAATAACCCATTTTCTGTAGAAAAGTGCGTTCAAGTAGTTGTTTGAATAGTGTTGAATGTGCTTTTGATTGAGCTGTAGATGCTCCTGTTACACACACGTTTACACATCAGCATTATTAACTAAGTCATGCTTATTTTATTAGATATTATTAGATGAATGTTTGATTCCCCATCATTCAGGTTCATATTAAGACGCTTTTTGTGCCAGCAGGAGTCTGTTTATATCTTTCAAATGTCTTAGTCTGATTGATTGATTGATTGATTGTTGGTTTTGATGAAATGACAGTCTGTTCATATATGACCCATGGCCGTTATCTTATGACCGGATATAATATCTTTGTGCGCGTTTCATTTATAAAGTCAGTTCTGTCTTGATATCATGGGTGATCTGTTGGGTGAGATTGAGGTTCACTGTCTCAGTGATTATGAAAATAATTATTATTATAAAGCAGTGAAATGTTTGCACAGCCTTTTGTTAGTGAAAACAGCTACAAGGGTTGAGTTGTTTAGTCAGTGTGTGTGTGTGTGAGAATGTGTGTGTG